GTCAATGCAACTATGCGGATCACTCACAGCTGGTTGGGTAAGTGGGCGAAATTTAGTCGGTTGGTTAGGTTCATGTAATTCGGGTTGATTTGGCCTGTTTCCTCTAATAGCCCAATGCTCTCCTGCTAAGGTACCACTGTTTTCTACACCTTCATGCAATTGTAGGCCTTGGACGTTTAATCTTTTATTTCAGCTGTTGCACTGTTGGTCTTTTATTTGGTTCTGTATGAGTTTTGCCTGCAAGTCTTATTTCCTTCTCCGAACGTCTAGAATTTCGTTTTATTTCAACAAAAAACCCGACATAAAACACGCTTTAGCTTTAATTGATTATCGTAATATCAGAGGAGCGTTATTAACGGCTCCCGAGCGCATCTCGATGACAATAGCTGTCTTTTATCCGCTAAATTGAAGGATGAGTGAACAGCCTCTTTCAAAGTCAGATGTAATTTGAAATTGTTTACTACTTAAGTGATTAGAGTAGGAATGATAAATCCCAGCAAGTTACTCGAGGCAATTCCTAAAGGCCTTTGTCACTCGCGACACTTTTCAGATAGAACGTGTTTTCTTTCCGCATGAGTGAACAATGGGCGTATATGTCTAAATGTGAAATCATTCTCTTTGCTGCCAAGCCTGAACTATGCTTCGAAACGCCAACATCAAGCCAACCGTGTAAATTTCGAAGCCCAATTCAGTTAAAAGTAACCATTATCTATGTTGTGATTCCGCACGTTTAAGGTTTTTGAGATGGGTTGGCTCCTCAGAGAACTCGCACCTTTTCCTCCACACATAGCTGTCTAACTTTTCTATCGTCTTCCTTCAACGACAGAAAAAACCGGCAATCGTTATAATTCTCTCCAAGGACCCGCCCATAGACAGAATTCCCTCAAACCCGATTCCGCCTCCAGGTTCCGATACCCAATCCAGCGAAGTACCTGTTCGCAGTCGACGGCAGAGCAAGCACCTGAAGAAGAAGCGTCGAAACCAGGACGACTCGGCCTTGTCCTTTATTCCACACAAAAAGGCAAAATTGAAGAAGAGCAAACAACCTGCAGTGGAGTCCAAGAGTACCGATGCTCCGGCGGAGGAAGTGGACGGGGTCCTCAGTTTTTGCCATCGCTTGGTGCCAGCTAACAAGACTTCAAAGGCTGCAGTGGAACTACTGTTTAGTAGCTGTGACCTCTCGACGTAGCGGCGCAGATACCTCCATGTAAAGTGTATATATTTTTTCGGGATTTGTACATTAACGGTGATCAGGTAAAGCTTGCGTAAATTTAATAATGTTTTCTTTTGACACGTCTCTCGAGGCGTGTACATTTGGGTAGGCGCCTGTTCTACATCAGCCGGCGGGCTGACTACAATTTGCAAACCAATCACATTTTGGATGATTGTCTTGCATCACCTTTGGTCGGCATCCGACTCTTGTTGGCCACATCGCAATCTACAAATGAGCAGTGAATAGTATATAAATATGCATTAAGACTGACTAAGCAGTAGTTTTAGGTCCAGATATCCATATTTTTCGTGGAACACATGCCGCTGCAAGATAAAGCCGCAAGGGGCTAAGCCCCCATGTAGGTCCCACGGGATTCAACGGTCCGAGCAATCATTCGACTGAATTCAGTCCATCTATTCAAATAAGAGTTCGGCCATATCCCAAAAGGTTGGTGTCGAGAACTTCAACCCAAATTCAAATATTGATTAGTGAGGAAATTAAATAATCGGAAATTGAAAAGCCGGATCGTCTGCATGCCAGAAACCGAATGCAACATCCGGGGACCCACTTTTGAGTCAAGGTCTTCGCAGATGCGTCACGTGGCCACACAAAGTGAGTGAAACGCCGACGTTTACGCAGTACTCATATTGTGCGATTGGCATATCGATCAGTATTTTTGTACCGCCGGCTAATTCCTGGCCGAGT